AGACAGAAATCTTTAATAAATAAATAAATTAAAAAAAGATTCGTTCAGTGGTAAAGAAGGGAAATGGTTTTGTCTGCAAGAAAACAAGCTCTGGAGGAAAAAATGAATGAAGATCTTGGGAATTCTTAAACCTCTCAGCCCGACAAATGGGAGCACACCCATTCCAACCACAAGCTATTGCCCAAGCCAACAGCCACTCTCTGCAACCAAGTAGGTTGCAGCTTTTGAATGTCAATCTTTACAAAACAGACTCTCAGCACAAGCCTTCTGGTTGTTAGCCACCAATTCGTGGATGGGAAACCACTTACTTGTAGTTTTTTTTTTTTAATCAACTCATATTTATTATACAAAATGATAGTTTTAAAATGATATTTTTATCCAAATATGTCATGCACTTTGATGATATTCACTCATTGCCTTCTCCCACTAGTTCCCCAAATCTTCTCAAATAGTTCCCATTCTATTTCCTGTTATATATTTACATGTATTACACTCATATATGTATAGAACAAGTTGCACACATGAAAGAAAATATGCACTATTTGCCTTTCTGGGTCTAGTTTAACATGATGGTTGCCAGTTCCATATATTCCTTGCAAATGACATAATTTTGTTCATCATGGCTGGATCAAACTCCATTGTGTAACTGCACAGTTTCTTTGGCCACTGTGTGATGTGTGGCTAACATCAATGACAGACTCCTGGAAGCTATATAGAAGAGATCGTGGCCATGGAGACCCAAGGAGCAAGCCCCACCCTCTGTGAGGAGTTTCTGGGTCTTGGTTTCTCAATTTTTAAAGGGAACAGTGAAACCCAGCAGGGTTGAGGGTGATGTCAAATGAAATTATTTCTCTGAAGAATGCTGCTTGTGGTCCTGATTGACTCTTATTACTAATCTTATGAATGAATTAATCTTATGAATTTTTTCCTGTACGTTTTGTATTACTTTCATTTGAAATACGCACCGAACCTAACATAGGACATGGATGCTCAGCTTGAGAATTCACTTGGGAAAATGGTGATGTCAGACTTGGACCTGCTCTTCTTTTCTTCTGCATGGGAACCCCTTAGCCCAGGCATTCTGAGAGCCTCCTGTCAGCAGTGGATCTTGACAAGTACAAACCTGTGGTGTCTGTCCAGAGAGGATGGAGACAGGTGAAATTCCTGAAGGCCAGAAAGAGAAGACTGTGTGGCTATTCGAGGTTCGGGTGCCAATAAGGCACAGGGCTTTAGTTCCTTGGACCCTTTCTATCAAGGAGGACTCTGGAACTGCAGAGAGTCAGAGCTGAGCCCTCTAATCCAAAAACCCCACTCGAAGACAGGCTCCTCTGGCTTCATTCTGAAGTGTGTGTGAGCAGGTGTGGTGGAGGTAGAGAAATGCCATTGATGGCGAGATTCTGGGAAAGCTTCTGGGTGATACCACTTGACTCAAGGATTGCAGGAGAAGCCAGATTTGGTTGATAGACAGAGATGCGAAAAACAGCTGGACAGAGCTGAGTCACAAGGGGTGTGTGTGTGTGTGTGTGTGTGTGTGTGTGTGTTCAAATTTTCAGTAGCATTAGAAGAAGCATTCTGATTAAAGAAGGACTGACCTATCAGAGATATTTGACACCTTTGGCTGCTAGGATTGTGTTAAGGATAAGTGAGGTTTGGAGGCTTTTTAAAAAGGCAAATCCATCAGCCTGCTTCTTAAAAGAATGCACAATGGAATTAGGGCTATTTTCCGGGATTTATGGTTTGAAATGGCGGAGTAGATGGCTTCACGTTAGCAGCCACCATAGCGACCCAGCCTTATCCATCAATTCCCTTAAGGCTTAGCCAGTTAAAACGGGAGCAAAATGAAAAGCATTGCTCAGAAGGCTGTGGATGAGGCAACAAATCACAATTCCCCAAATGAGTGTTATGTTCCAGTCCTCTGACAAGCCATGCAAACCACACAGTGCCCAGACACTGTGGGAGGAAGCTTCCTGAGATCGTAATTCTGTCTTGGCTATCATTGCCCCAAACCACAGCAACCCGGGGAAATAACCTATTCAGCCTGCCATCTTCGCTTTGCAGAATGCACAGCAGGCACATGGAGTCCAGTCAGCCCTTTGCTGCCCAGGCAACCTTGCTCTTGTAGAGCGCATCTGACTCGAGCCATGTCAGTCAAGTGCGCTTGGTCCCTGGATCGAATGGTCCCTAGCTCAAGCCTGCTAGGGCTGAGCATGTCGGACACTCCACTAACCACCCATCTTCAGTCCTCTCCACTCCATGGTTGGATATGGAACTCCCTGCCTTCTCCATTGTCATCCCCCATTTCCCATCACAGTCATTTCCTCGGACACTTCCCCGCTGAATCATGCTCTCTTCTCTGCTTCTTGGAGGAGTGAAAATTAATGCACAAAATCAGCTTTTGTGAGATTCAATAGTTCTTCTTGTCACAGGCATTTAAAGAAACGTATCATAGATATGTTTACACAGAGAGACTCTGCATGTTCGTTATCCCATAGCCATCACAAAGTGTCGCATGTACACCTAGGTCACCAGATAGCTGCATCTGTCTGTGTTTCATGCACATTACAGGAGTTGATGAGATTTTCTTTCTGTGATGAGGAAGGGCGATCTCATGGA